ACATCCTCGGAAGTTAAGTGGGAAGAAAGGACTACACTCAGGCTTTATTTTAAATTAAAGTTCATGTCGGTTGTCCGTGTGGCTGTCTATAGCTGAGGCATCTTGGGAAGTTGTTGGGCACAATTTGAAGCTCTCTATATCCTTTTCACTTCTGTTTATTCCAGCAGTAGAGTCAGAGGAACAATTATGTTGTTACAGTAACAGCCACTTGTCTTGAAAGACTAAGAAAGGAGTATGGATGAAAGAGGCCCAGACCAGAGAGAGGAGCAGCCTGCCAAAGGAAATCACAGCATCAGTGCTTCGAGCAAGAGAAACAGGTAACTGCTTGCTCTTAAGGACTCATGGTCTTAAAACTATCAAAAGGACTTTACACGAGCATCTGAGAATGGATAAAACCCCATATGTTCACACTTAATAGCAGTGACTAATTTTTGAAATTGCTATATTGGGTGAGGTCACAAGAAATGACTTTCATGCTGGTTGCAGTCACAGTTGGATGTCCATCCCAAATCAATTTCACGCTCCTGCCTTACTCAGGGAGCCTTGATTTTGTTTAGGTTTCTGTCCTTCCTCCCACATGACTCGTTGGTAAATCCTAGTTGGTGAGGTCAGCGGTCTCGTTCCCTTTCGTTAGGGATAGGTTTGGGGCAAGCCTGTGACTCAGCTGCTCATTGAGGTGTGAGGGATTTAGAGGTTTCTGGGAAAGGACTCTGAGCTATTAATAAGGCAAAGCCTAAAAAGTGATGACCTCTTTGATTTGTTGCATGTTGTCTCGTCCGGATGTGACACCTGGAGCTTCGGCAGCCCTCTGGCGGCCATGAGGGAAATCAGCCTAAGGACACACCTGAACCATGGTGGCAGAGTGGCAAGATGGAAACCCATCGTGCTTGAAGAAATAGTGGAGTCACGAATTAAATTGAACGAAACGACCCTGAATCCCACCTCCCTCAGGATTTCTTGTATATGAGAGAGTAGGTATTTTATTTTTATTTTTTTTAAATACATTTTATTGATTTTTCACAGAGAGGAAGGGAGAGAGATAGAGAGCTAGAAACATCGATGAGAGAGAAACATCTATCTGCTGCCTCCTGCACATCCTCCACCGGGGATGTGCCTGCAACCAAGTTACACGCCCCTGACCGGAATCGAACCTGGGACCCCTGAGTCCGCAGGCCGACGCTCTATCCACTGAGCCAAACCGGTTTCGGCGAGAGAGAGTAGGTATTTTAAACCTTTTACACCAATTTTACTAACAGCTAAAGGTATAGGGCAGTGGTCGGCAAACTCATTAGTCAACGGAGCCAAATATCAGCAGTACAACGATTGAAATTTCTTTTGGGAGCCAAATTTTTTAAACTTAAACTATATAGGTAGGTACACTGTTATTAACTTAATTAGGGTACTCCTAAGGCTTAGGAAGAGCCACACTCAAGGGGCCAAAGAGCCGCATGTGGCTCGCGAGCAGCAGTTTGCCGACCACGGGTATAGGGAGAACTAAAATTCAACAAAGGAAAACAACCCACTTCAAAAATGGGCAAATGACTTCAAAAAACATTTTTCCTAAAAGATATACAAATGGCCAATAAGCTAAGCACAGAAAAACATGGAGCCTCAGGAGGGGATGCTAGGAGTATTTCCAGTGCACGCAATGGCCTCCATCCTGCTCTGGGAATGGCAATCGTTCATCGTTGTGGGTTGCCCCGGTAGCACTATTTCATTGTCTATAAAGCAGCCGGTGGCTGAGAAGATGAATAATGTCAACCCCATGTTTTACTTCCATTACTCCCTGCACATTAGAGCTGGGTAAAAATGCTCTGGAAAGATCAAATAGCCCCAGTAGGACCTGAAAGGTGGGCATTGTGGGGCTGGCAATTATACCGTGCAGCTTGAAAGGCCTGCTTGGCGTGTCACTGAGCCTCTGATCGTAAGCAAAGGCTGCCAGATTACCCTGTAGCACTTAACAACAACAACAAAAAAGACCGTGCTTTTAAAAGAACAGATTTGAAGGTGATATTGCTTCCTTCCCTTTTGGATTCTCCCTCCTTACTATTCTGCTTTGCTGCAAGGATTTCTAAGTATTGTTACCTCTTAAAAGCAATTTTCTGCTCTTGCTGTGTGCACACACCTGGCCCTGCTTTCCCAGAATCCCCAGCTGGGTATTAACTGTTCTCTAGAATACAATGGGCAGAAATCAATGAGGAAATTCTTTTGAGGGGCAAAAGGGAAAGAAGACACCTGTTATTTGTGGCTGACCAATTTTTTTTAACAACATCTCTTCTTTTTTGCTAGGGTCCCATAATTTTAGTCTGATCCTAGCAAGGTAGAATCTTAAAAACTACATTTCCCAGCTTTCCTCACAGCTAGATACAGGCATGTGGCCCAGGTTCCATGAATCAGATATAGACATTGAAGGCTGATTTGGAAGTGAGCCAAGGCTTTGGGGGTATAATACTATGGGCAGAGATTATGACAGAGGCCTTGAAAGTCAGTGCCAGTTCAGGCAGTTGTGCAGAATGCGTTAGGGGGAGCAATGTATGCAATTGCCATCTCATTAACCCAACCAGAGTTCTGGCTTTGAGCACTGAACCTGCAAGTTGAGCCTTGAGAACGTTTCCCTGGTCTTCCCTGACTACTGTCTTCTCATAAAGTCCTTTTCCTACTTAACCCAAGGTGATAGATTCTGTTATCTGCAGCTAAAAATGGCCTGACCCAGCAGGCACACACAGATATGTGACAAGACTTCACTTGCAAACAGGGGTTCAAGAAAGCTCTTCAACTAAGAGATCCTAATCATGACCTGGGCTTGGTACAGAGGAGCTCTGCAAGGTCGGAAGGTTTGGGTGAGCTATTCTGGTCTCTCAGTCAGAACTCATAAAGAAAAAATGATTTCAGCTAAAACATAGGATCACATCTACTCTCAGGAGACAACCAAACAAGTTGCCGTCTAGATGGGGCTGTTCTAGGGCACTGCCTTCCTCTCCCCACCGGAAGTGTCAACCATGCATGTCCTTTGGAGGGAGAATCCTTCTGACAGGGCTTACCTCTCCATCATTACCCACATGGCAGACATTAGTTAACACCGCTCAGGACTGAGTTCTTGGGAAAGAGACCCAGGTGAGTCCCAGAAGTGAAAGGTGGTAAGATGCTGAAGCGCATTTTACATATTTCCCCAGGTCTGGCTCTGTTGAGAATCAGCATGGTTTTATTTTTATTTTTTTTTTTCCAAGTGATAATTATTTGGACTATTTTTTTTTCTTTGCTTAAGACATCTGGACAGTTTTGCACAAAGTAGGATGGGAATATAAAGTCCTTAGATATCCTTCCCCAATTAAATTATTTCATCAACAAATAATTCCTGAGCAGGTAACTCCAAATATGTTCATTCACATCAAGAAATGCCAAGAAAGTGCCCTTTAAAAATCTGTAGTATATGGATGTTTCCTTCTGTGTTGGCGGGGGCTCATTGTGAATTATATAAATTTGTTCAACGTTCAAGGCTCTAGACTTAAATTTTAAAGCTCAGGCTTTCTTCTTGTCCTGAGAGGCGCAAATATGTGCTGACCACTGCTTGAAGGTAGGTTGGTTTTATTTAGTGCGACACCTACCAGACACCCTCGATGATACTACAGTGCAAAATTTCCAGACTTCCTGGGCTGGTATCCCAGGAAAAGCCAGCTATGTCATCTTGTATTAGTTAAGATGGTGCCAGCTGCTATCAAACATGAGCCTCCAGCCCGGCCAGTGTGGCTCAATGGTTTTGTATCAACCTATGAACCAGAAGGTCATGAGAGAATCAGCATGGTTTTAAAAGAAATTAAAAAGAACACATTACATCTTATGTGGTTCTTTGACAATCAAAACAGAGCAAGATAAATATCTTTACTGTTTCTAATGCGATTTCCCAAAATGAAAGAAATCTGAGCATATGGCAAGAAGCTCAAAAATCTGTTAACATCATGAGAATGTCATGGTAAAAGTGGGACTGGTGAGCATTATGAGCTGCCAGTCCATGTTCTCTGAAAATGAAAGGGAATCTCCTTAATTCATTTTCTCCAAGACCAAAAATGAAATTTTGAAGAAATGGTGCTACTTAAATATACTGAAAGGGGGGTTTAAAATGAGGTAGAAATCATTAAGTTAGCTTTGCTCTCCTCCATGAGCCCAGGATGCAAAAAAAAATCTAGTGACTTTGGATGTTTGAATCCCAGTTCCATCTATGATGTGACCTTGAACAAGTCACTTGATCTCTCTAACCCTCTGTTTCCTTATCTATTGGATGAAAATGTGTATTCTTGGCTTATCAAACTGCTATAAGGAGAATATCAATAACCTTGGCAAAGTATCTGGTCATGGTTAGGGCTAAAGAAATGGTAACCATTAAGTGGTGAATCGGGCCAGCCTCACCTTCAACTTAGTCCATCTGATGGTAATAACAGAGGATGAGCTTCTAGCAGTAGCCTCTAGAACAGTGGTTCTCAACCTTGGCTGCACATTAGAATAACCTGGGAATCTTTTTAAAATCCTGATTTCTGGGCCTCATCCTCTGGAAATTCTGTTTCTTTGTTACTAATGTTGTGGCCCCACCCCATAACAAAGAAACAGAATTTCCAGAGGATGAGGCCCAGAAATCAGGATTTTAAAAAGATTCCCAGGTTATTCTAATGTGCAGCCAAGGTTGAGAACCACTGCTCTAGAAAGTCTGTAAGTCACTGCTAGGATTCAGTAAGTGGCCATCAGAAGGGAGAACTCAAAATTCAGCCTTCATCAATGAGCACACAAGTTCATTATCAGGTTTTTTATTAATCTCTGCCACACTGTCCTCTCATTAGAAATTGAAATAAAACTACCTGCCCTTTGGACGGTGTGTTTAAGCTTTTATTGTGAATGGTAACAGGTCAGAGACTGGAAGGTAATTGACACAGAGGCTAAATTCCAAGAGCGTTACTTGGAAGACTCTTTATGGACAATAATTTCACAGAAGACAAATTCAAATCAGAAGATGCTGCTTGAAAACCATGGATTTAGTCAAGGTTGAAAGATACAAGAATAGTTAAGTATTTTGCACAAAGGAAATCTGGTGGATGAGCCAGTAGAATTGATGCCTGTGGAATGCATTCTCAAGGGTTCTGTTTTGCTTCTTTGAGAGAGGCCGTCATTGTCGGTTCAGCTGGGGGTTCCTTCCTTCACATTGAGAACCTGGAGCAGAGAGATCAGCACCATAAAAAAACATTAGAAAGAGTTAAGCAAATGTAGTTAGTTATACTTGACGTAACTCCATTCCCAACAAACCATCAGCATCACATGGGACTAGTTAGCAAGGCAAACTCCTAGGACCTAGGTCACCTTGACAGACTGAATTGGAACCAGTGGGGGTGAGGCCCAGCAATCTGTGCTTTCACGAGTCTCAGGTGTTCTGAGTGAGCATGTTAATGCTCCAAAACCATAGCTGTCCCGAGAGAGAAACAAACTTCCTCTCTTTTGGGAGCCACTATATTTTGGGGGTCTTTTTGTTATATCAGCTTAACTTGCACTCTAATATATTTTGACTAATGTTAACAATTAAATGTATTATCCCCAGGAATTGTGACTAAATAGCAGCTGGTTAGGGGGACTATTAGGGAATGTGGAACCTTAATTCTTACTTGGCTTCTTTTGTCAATACCTCATTACATGAATCAATTTGTGAATTACACAATTATATATCATAAACCCATGAATATACGTGGTAGCAGTGTGAGCAACTTGGGAAGACAAGGCTATATGGGTTTCTGCCAGTTCTCCATTTATTGTGGTTTGCTTGTTGTGGCTTCAGTTCAAATTAACCAAGACTGAAGAAGAATGAAAAGCTATCATTCTATAACAGCCTTTAGGCACTGAGGTAAGAAAACACTTTTCATCCGGACTAGAGCTTATTATGCTTTTCAAGAGCATAATTCTGGAAATTCAGGTTCTCTGGCATCCAGACCAGCCATTTGTTCCTAATAACAAAACTGATTTTCTCATAATAGAAATTACCTGCTCTATGGCTCAATGCTTGGCCAGGTGCTAATGAGGCCAGGGCCTGGGGTTCAACTCCCACCCAAGCCAGTTAGCTTTGCTCTCCTCCATGAGCCCAGGATGCACTATTAAGGGTCGCCAACCTGCCTGAAGATGCTGCTACCCACCTGGCATTATGAGCCACAGGTCATAAAAGGGGCCAGCTGAGGACGTGGGAAATAATCCATAGAAGTCCTCCCATTGGTGGAAAATATTAAATTTGAGTGGTTTGGCTCAGGGAGAGGAAGTAAAGCTACAAGGATAAGAATTGTGTACCCCAGGAAGATCGAGGACCTAGAGGTAGGAGGGGTGTGAGAAGGACAACATTCCTCTGTTCCTTAATGGAAACTGTCAGGGTGGTCAGGGGATTTTTAGTTCTTTTTGGTTGCATGTTGCTTTCCCTATATTTGGAGCTTCCTTTGGAGCAGTTCACATATTAATAAGTAAAACTTTTCTATTCTCTATACTAATTTGATGGGACAATGGGAGCAGTCTCTTAAAAGTGAGGGCAAACGTGCAACATTTCCTTCCTTTCCATAACAGCTTTGGCAACGCATTCCTCAAGTCCCTTTCCTGTCCACCAAATAAGAGAGAGAAAAAACCATAAGGCTACAAAGAATAATGAACTGGGTCTAAATCACAAGAGGAACCCAAAGACCAACTTCAACCTTTACTGAAACTCAGGACAATCCACAACCACATGCAGGATTAGGGATTAGGCCCTGGAGTTGGCCAACCTAAACACTGTTTTATGTTACAGAAACCACAGCATCAAAGTTCCATTCATTTTTGTAAGAAGGATATAGTTAAAAGAAAATTAAGTTTAACCTTGAAAATGATTGACCATAATTTCTGAGCTTGTTTGCCATGATATTGTATCTACCTAGTAGATTCAGTGCACATTTGCACAGATCTTTTCTGAATTAAGTCAATATCCTTGTCATCAAAACCTAAGAAATGCTCAGCATTTCTAACTACAGCTCTGGGAGAACTGGCAATAGGACTTGATGTCTTTTTACCAAAGGGGGAAGAGGAGAGCATATGTGGATAGTTATTAATTTTAAGACAAGTCCTTCACCTCTGAGAACTCCTGCTGCTAATTCTGGTAATGCCTAGCTAAGTTACTAAACTTCCTTCTAACATGGAGAGATATATGGATTTCTAATAGAAACAATTCTCTTGGCATGCCCTCTTTGTGAATAAGACAATTATAAGATGTTCTCAATTTTCATGACAGCATACTTTCATTGAGGTGGAATTTCCAAAGCCAAGGGAGCTCTAAGTTGTGTGCTCTATGCACATAAAAAACTGTTGAATTCATTTTTCATATTATCAGGAAATATATTCAAAAGAATGGTAGCAATGTTTACAATAGCTAATTATTCAACTCGATGTGGACTGAAACAGGATGGGTTTTCTAAACTTGTAACAAGAACAAGGCATAAACAGATATAGTAGAAAAATAAGGCCTGATTATATCAAGTTGACCTTTCAGATCATGTTGAATACTGGTAAATATTGTCCCCTTGAAGCAGTCACTCTCTGTGATGGTCCACTCAACCCATTCCACGCTACAGCCACTCAGAGACCTTATTGGAACTATTCTTTGGTAATTGCCTTCAAGCTTACAGAATAGTCTTCTGACTATGATGGGAAAGTTTCCATCCTTGAGGAAGGAGTTGAATTTTCATAACAATCCAAAGTTATGCAGAGCCTGGTTTGGGGTGAAAAGCAACTCAAAGTGGATATTGCTGTTTAATTCAAAAGTGAGGCACTACAGATGAATGCCATGACTGTGTGTGTATTTTATGAATGAGCTATGAAGGTAAGTCCATGTCAGTGTTTGTGAAATTATTTTAGAGGGTTTTGTAGTGGTGATTGGTATTACTCTTCAGACAAAAGAGAAGGCACTGCTGTTGGCCATCCATCCATGGGATGTCCCACAAAATACTTGTCCAAGAAAAAGTCTGTCCAGCCAGAAGCTAAGAAGTCAGTCACTAATTGCTAGAGTCCTTAGAGCCCTCAGAGCCCTGTGATACACACACACACACACACACACACACACACACACACACACACACACGCGAAGCTGGTATCATACAGGTGTAGGCAAGAGAATCACTCGAGGCTTTATATGGATTATTACTAATTTCTGTATTGGTTGACTTAATCCAGATTTTCTTTCTGAATAAAGGCTTCCAGAGACATTCTCTCTAAGTGCTTAATGCAACAAATGCATTTTTGTTTTGAGTTGAGCCTAAAAAATCCACAGTGGACCAAAGGGCAGTGAAGCACAGAGCTCCCTCCGGAGAATAAACGGAGGGTTGGCAAAGCCAGCCTGAGCCTCTGGAGAGGGACCATCAATCAAAGAATTGGCCACCATGACAAAGTGAAGGAGCCAGCTCCCCAAGCTCTGTGACGGAAAGTCAGTATTGTTTCTTATCAAAAAAGGGAGGAGCATGGCGCTACTGCATCCTGCATCCTTTCTACATAATATCAACATGGACAGTGCCTCAGAAGATGTCTGTCCTGGCAACACACTGTCCAGGCAGACAGCACAGGCTCCTGTCCTGGTTTTACCAGTGAACAGCTGTGTGACCATCTCAGTTTCCTCACGGAGACTCTACAATGGAGAGAAGAATAGAATTTTCCTGAATCTTCCTCCTAAGATTGCTGTGCGTATTAACAGATCAAATGGAGATCAACTGCTTCTCCCAGTACTTAGAGTATAGTGAACACTCAATAAAATTGGCTATTATTAATATTTCTAGTATTCCAAGTATTTTTGCCTTTTATCATAAATTTCATGAAAGCTTCTTAACAGTTAATGAGAATCACTTCGTTTTCAGCTGCTTCATCTTCTTCCTACACATTTTCTTCTCTCTTTTAACTCATTGACTGTCCTTGTATCTAACCAATGCCAGTTTGGTAGAATTGTTGTTCTCTGTCCTCCATAAAATCATATACAGGGCAAATCAGTTGCCCTTAGGTATGTTCAACAAGTTTTGAAATATTAGGATGAACCCTGAAATCAGTAATCTTGGAACAAAAATGAAGAAGTGTCATTTTGCATAAAAGGTCACAAATAAGAATGCTCTCTTCTAAAAACATCTATGAAGAGGCTCTTTCCCATGTCCATCAAAAATACACCCTATCTGTAGACCCACAGGGATTTACTCGAAGACGGCCTCACTAGCAAAATATTCTGGTTGGGCCTGGCAGATTAAAAACATCCCATCCATGCACAGTTGCTAGTACACACAATTCCTAGTAAAACCCCTAAACTGGAGTTTTGAAACCACAGCATTTTTATGTGCCAAGAGGAAAAACCATCTATTACGTTGAAAAGAAAAGATGGCGCGGCAGTTGTCTACTAATTTCCTTAGCGTGTGTTGGTATTGGCCTAATGCAGTGGCTGTGAAGGTTTGCATTGTAAACAATTTTATTCTCCGCTCAACCTTTCCTCCCAACTCTCCCCAAATACCTCCCCCCCCCCACCCCCACCCCCCGCACTTTCCCAGTAGGTTCCTTATACCTTTGAGTCTTGAACCTACATCTGAAAAGTTGCTGCTATCCTCGGAATCGGAATCCGGAGTAGACTGGAGAATACCCAGGGGCGCCCTGTGGAGGTGACTGGTGGCTTCCGGTCCCCTTTCCTTTCATGAGGCCTAGCAGAGTCCTCGCAGCTTCTTCCCACAGGATGTGCTGCCGCAGCTGGTACTTCGGGCTCCCTCCCTCGTAAACATATGGGGACTCCCCTGTGCTCTTTTTCCCCATTAGGTGCCCTGTAAAAGACAAAAACAAACACAGAACGCCACAACGTTAACCTGGAGCAATGAATGAATGAGAAATTTAAAAGGACCCCAATTATGTTTGTGCTTCTTCCTCTTAAATGCAGAATAAATAGCATTTTATTATTAGAGTTAGTTCATAGATGATTGGTTTTGCTTTCTATTCAAAATGAGAAGTGAACTGGACAGAATTCAGACCTGCAGCTCTGGAACCCAGGGTATGGTCCCAGCCCCTCTGCTAACGAGCTAGGTGACCTCTGCCAAGTCATCTAGCCTCCCCAGTCTTCAATTCCTCAAATATAAAATGAACAGGTTGGACTAAATGAAATATAGGGAACCTTCCATATCTAAAATTCTACCACCAATTCTGTGTGCGCTGAGTTCCATTCCCAACTGAATGGTGGAATTGAAACATCCTCCCCCGCCGATTTGAAATTGCTACTGCGAAGAAAAGTCTCGATGCTTTTCTTTGTGTGATTTTTAAAAAGGGGCGGGGGTGTTGTTTATCTCTTATCTGTAATACAAATGTACCAAAGGAATTTTTCATTTAAACTTTCTCAGAACTTAGCTGAGATTGAATCTAGGAAGCGTCACCTAGAAATTACAGTTTGTAAAGCATGTAATGAAAAACTGGTTGAAAACAAGCTCTGACCAACACTTCCCAGCCACATAATGCAGGATTTTCTCTGGGATGTCTAACGTGGGCAGCGAATGTCTACCAAAGGCTCCAGGGATGTACACGTGCCGGGTAAATTAACAAAAGTTGCGGTGCAGAAGGCCAAATCACTAAAACCATGGAAATTCATGAATGCAAGTGGGGACAGCCATGGGGTCAAAGGAGGCAGGGAATTCAAGGTCTGCATTCTGAGCACTTTAGCCCACTACTTAAATATTCTCACATTATCTTATTTACTTTCATCATTCGATTTTTCCCATCTCTCTATGATCAGCTTATATAGTATTTTCAAATGTCTAATATTAATAAAACTATCGTGCTTTTGATTTAAAGGTCACAGGTAAGAGCTCTCTGTGGCTCCAATGCTGACTGACATTAGAAGTATTTAAAGCAAACATCATGGGAATAATGTTGGACAGACCTCAGTCATACAAAATAGAAAGAACCTCTTCCCAGCATCTCTCTTCACCAAGAGGAGCCCTCACTATGACGTCATTGTGTATTGCAGTGTGCTGTTTACAGGATGTCTAAGTGCAGGTCATTTCATGTGATCTACCCTGTAGTAAGTCTGATGAAAAAGAGACTTGCCAGTGGTCACACAGGTAAGCAAAGATTCTAGGATTAAAATCAGCTCACAAAAGGAGACATATGTACTACTATTTGTAATACTTTAAACAATAAAAAAAAACAACAGCTCACAGTCCAGACTCTACTATACTATACTGCTTCAAAGTCTTCGAACTTCCTAAGAATATAAGGCAGTGAGAGATCATTCTAGGGTCTGTGATAAGAATGAGGCCTGCAAAAGGCTTTCTAATATGATCTTTAAAATAGGAATCATATAGCCATATATCATGATTGATTATGTGACTCAGAAAATTAATTCTGTGAGTATTGGGGAGCCTTCAACTGAGGTTTCACTGCTCAGCAGTGAGAGCACTTGTCAAGTCACTTAAGACACGTCACACAATTTCAGGCCTCCCTATTGAGGACCCTGTCCCCACTAAAGGAATCCTGAGTGATCGACTCCTCACTTGTCTGCTTGGTCAACCTGGTGCCCAGAGAGCCACTAAATAACCTTGCATTTAGCAAGAACAGTGATTATGTTGCAGAACTTCCCAGGAAGTAGCAAGGCATTTGGCTTTATGTACATGGAGAAAATTGAATCATGATGATGGAAAAGCAGGATTAGAATCTGAGGCTCCCAGTAATGACCTCGGTCCCTCTTGCCTTCCATCACATCCTATCATCCTGTTAGCGTGCTGGAAAGGAGAAAGGCATTATTGCCCATGAGACAGAGGGGGACTGGAGATGTTTCCACAAGGAAGAACTGCATTTTTGTCAGGCCTGAATAATTTTGTGGACTTTTCTAAAAACCATCTGTGATGGATTTCACACATAGGATGTCCCTCAAAAAATGTATACACATGCTTTAAATAATTATAAAGGCAGTGTTTATTAAAATACATTTTATTTTCAAAATTCAGCTTTCAGCTGTTAAAGTATGTATACATTTTTGGGAGACATCCTATAGATCCTTGGGACCTTTTCTTGAGTTTTTAATATTTGCATATTTGGAAAGTGGGTAGTGTTCCGACTCCCACTCCCAGATCCACAGACTGGTCATGAAGAAGAGGGTACTGCCCTAACCAATTTGGCTCAGTGGCTAGAGCATCGGCCTGCAGACTGAAGGGTCTCAGGTTCGATTCCGGTCAAGGGCATGTACCTTGGTTGTGGGCACATCCCCAGTAGGGGATGTGCAGGAGGCAGCTAATCAATGTTTTTCTCTCATTGATATTTCTCTCTATCCCTCTCCCTTCCTCTCTGTAAAAATAATCAATAAAATATATATTTTAAAAAAATAAAAATAAGTAAAAAAGAAGAGGGTACCATCTATAACATCACAGGGAAACACACATTCACTGGGTTCTATTTCACTGGTGAGCTGGCACCTGTCCACCAAATAATCATCTCTATGGCAACATGGATGCTATGCCCACTTCCACCTCTTCTCCCATCATCTTTTGTTATCTGTTCATATCATAATAGTGGAGATCTCAGCATAGCCAAAAGACAGGCACTTGAAAAAAATAAAACCATGGCCAGGGGAAAAAAAGGCCTTTGTCTCACTTAAAAATACCACTAAAATAGCAGGTTTGAAACACAACTTTCTTGAACTCAAACTTAAAGATTACTCAAAATCAGGAAATGACCCATTAAGACAAAGTGCTAAGTACTTCTAGGAGCTAGTGTCTCTGGACAGATGCTTAAACTTTATTTCAGTTTCTGGAATAGCGTGACAATGTCAAGCCATTGTGTAGCTGAGCACAGGTGTTCAGACTCCCTCCTCCCTGATAGAGACCACAAGCATTTACTTAGGAGACTGGCAAGCTACATTCAAAACCGAACATTATTCCTGCTTGTGAAAGCTCACATTCCATCCGAGAGCATGTCTACCCAAAGGCAACTTTTGCTCAACCACAATGTCATTTTAGACCCAAATGTGAGTTTCTCCTTCTCCTTTCTCTTTCCTTTTTCTTCCTCAACTCTGCACAGCCAGCCAAGGGAGAAAAAGGAAAAAGAGTGTGTCTGGAGCAATAAGGAAATGTAAGGTTGCCACAGGTCTGTATGCTTTTGGGTGAGGAATGCCCAGGCACCACCACAAAGGGTGATTAATGCCAGGCACCCTAACTCCCTGGAGGCAGATACACTCTGAAACTACGGCAATCAGGCTTGGCTTGCACCAGAAATGACATGGTTCTATCTAGCTGCTCAGCTAACTCTCTTGTCCTCCTTTTGGCCTGTAAGGGTTACCTAATAATAAAGCCTTTTCAGGACAAAAAATATGGATGAGCAAAAAGAGGTTGGAAGTCTGGAAGTTTCATTTCACCTTCCCAGGCGACCAGATGGTGGCTGGCCTGGACACTGGCCACTAGCTCTAAGGTCCCAGGAGCCTTTTTAAGCATCAGTCATAGGTTTGGCTTCCTTAACACCCAAGTGACCTTTCTTGGTTGTTTTTGGTTTTGCTTTTCATCTTTGCTAATCCCAGCCTTTCCTCTCCACACCAGACTTCTGGGTTCCCATGCCCCTCAGAGACCACAAATGCTTTCATCCAGGCTGCCGGCCTTGGCCAATGACTCAGCGACAATGCGAACTACTCTGCTGCAACCAGGAGCTTTCTGATTCTCTCACAGAAGCGTCCACAACATGGAAATGCTGAGGAAGTGACAGTTCCAGCCTGACTCCTTTCCATGAAGTCATCCTGTCTTCACACAGAGAACCTGAGAGTTGTCTGATGTATACGAATTAGCAAGTATCTTTCCAACACACCCTCCCCTTCTCTACACAGATAACTAAGGAAATAGAAACAAACATATAAAAACACCACCATCACCATCACCACCGTCACCATAATCACCACCACCATCACATCACCATTACCATTACCATCACCACCATCACCACCACCATCACCATCACCACCAGCACCACCCCACCACCACCCTTAAATCTCATTAGTGATGACCAGCACCCCCCCCCCAGGAAATGTTGGGGTTACTGTAGTTGGCTTTATGGTTTCTGAGGAAGTTGGGCGCTTTGCATTTGCCAGAGGCTGTTTGACGTGCGGAGATTCCCAGGGTGACATTGGGTGAGCGCAAGGTTTCAGAACTGCTACCTGCCTCCCAGTTACACTGGGAGCCCTGGGGCCAGGATGAGCGAACCTCCCAGCCCATGCCTAGAGTGGCAGAAGGAACGGAAAAGGAGCGAGGGGAGGGTGAGGCCGTCTAGGTCCAGAGAGGCGGAGGAAAGCAGGGCTCAGGGTCCGCGTGGAGAGCAGGCGCGATTACCCGAGCGCAGGCTTCTGGATGGAAGGCGGGAGGGCTGGGCAGAGAAAAAACAATCGCCGCAGAGGCAGGAGGACTGAGAAAATTCAGAAGAGCCACGAAGGCGAGATTCAGGCACTGCTCGCTGAACAGGTTTAAGGTCCCCCACCTGCGGCTTTGCGGGGCGCAACGGCGCAGCCTGGGCTCACGCCGGGCTGGACCAGGGGTCCGAGGCGCTCTCGGGAACCCGGCTTCCTAAAGGTGTTCGGGGAGAGACGGTGCCGGGAAAGGGGGTGTTGGGTAGGTGTAGAGGGAAGGGGATCTTCGCGTGGCGTTGGGTGCTTGGAGAGCTGCGCGCTGGCTCGGGTGCCTGGGGAAGAGGGAAGACCCAGGGGCCAGCCCTTGGCTGCCGGCTGGCCAGGACGGGGAAGGATGGGGAGTTTGGGGAGAAAGGTCGGAGCAAACCCAGCCCCCAAAGCCGGGACCCAGAAACGCTGAGAGAGGGGAGACGGCCCGAGCGCTGACGGGTCCTGCCCGGGCCTCGCGCGCGCCGACACTCACCCACCGCCCAGTGGTTGCCGCGCGGGTACATCTTGGCCAGCGCGGTCTCTCCGGCCGCCCGCACCGGCGCGGCGGGGGCCCGGGGCGCCTGGCAGAGGACCAGCGCCAGCAGGACGAGCGGCAGTTCGCGGCAGCGCATGGTCCCGACGGGCAGCTCCGGGTGCGCTTCCCAAACCGAGGAGCGACCGCAGGACGTGGACCTCGGGGAGCTCCGCCGTCGTCCGCGCCGCTGCTGCCGCCTTCGCCAAGCCCCGACTTTATATGGGAGCCCGGTCGGGGGGGTCGGGGGCTCCTCCACCGCGGACCCGAGAGCTCTGACGTCTCCCTATAGCGAGCCCGGGCGCCTAGACAACCGTCCGTGAAAACCATCCATCTTCCCGCGGGTAATAAAAGCATGAGTGTACACTGTCCCTCTCCCTTTTCCTCGTAGTCCCGGCCGCCTTCCCCACGTGGGATTAATTCTTCTCATCCCCGACGCCTTCCTCCAACACAATGCAGAGAACTCCCTCCCCAGCCTTACCTGGATGCCTCCCGCCTTAGCTGCCTTCCGATCCTGCCAGGGGGAGCGGCGGCCCGTGCGGAAGAATGAGCAAACAGGAAATACTGCTTCAGGTTCAACTTTGCTGGAAGCGGATTGGAACGGGGATTGCAAGGACTTCTGATGCTCAGACCTTTCCCACTCCGTGGACCACCTCCCTCCCCGCAGTCCCAGCCCACAGACCTCCAGACCCTTGTCTCCCCTCCCCCCACCCCTTCTCACCACCACCAGCAGCAACACCCTCACCCCAGCTGGGTGTTCAGGGCGCCCCTGAGATGGAGGATGGGGCAGGAAGAATCCGCTCTGGAAACAGAGCTAACAATAGTTGTACTACACACGCGGCCCCTTTCACAAGCATCCAGCTTTCGTGTTAATTTCCCAGGCTGTGTCTCCCAGAAAGCTCAAGCTGTCCCTAAAGTGCCATCCCCACGCCTCTCCAGAGCTGCCCAGCTTTCCTCTGTTCCTTCTGTTGGCAGATGTGGAGAATGGTCACAGGCCCACTCCCTGGGTTCTGGATGGCATGGATGCAGAGGGAATGGGAACCACAGCAATGCCACAGTTAACAGAAACTGGCAGGACGCTGTGGCCGCCTTCCCGCTGCCAGAGCTGGGGGTGTATGTGTGTGCTCCTGCAGGCCTCTTCCTCACCAGTTCTGGTGCATTGTCTTGCTGGTGGGTCCCTGGTATTGCATGTCAGTGCTGGTGCTGAGACCAATTAAACTAGAATCGTACAATTTTCTCAGAATACCTGGTGATTCAATGCATTTGTGCCATTCTTAGATGATTACATGTGCACCTTACACGACTGAATAGTCTTGGCCTCATTTTTAAAAATATGCTTTTATTGATTTCAGAGAGAGGAAGGGAGAGAAACATCAGTGATGAGTGAGAATCATTGTTTTTGCTGCCTCCTGCACACCCCCTACTGGGAATCTAGCCCCAAATCCCTGGCACATTCCCTGACCAGGAATTGAACCTCAACCACTGAGCCACACCAGCTGGGTCCTTGGCCTCATTAATTTGACCCAGCCACACAGGTTAGAGATTTCTCAACAGCTTATAGTAAATCCAGACTGTCCCATTCCACAGGGCACTGGGCAAGGCAGTGTTTCCTTAACAGAAGTGGGCAGGTGAGCACCTGAATGTCTCATTCATGCACAATGGCCCTTCTCCCAGATCCTCAGGCACACATTGTTTTGTGACTGATATTCTATGATTTGTGCTGTGTCTTTTTTGCTCAGTGATTCCCAGACATTTCAGCATGAAGGGCATTTTTTATTTCTCCCATGGAGTTCAGGTTGGACTTTTTAAAATCGAATCTACTAGAGGCCCGATGCACAAAATTCATGTGGGTAGGGGAGAAAGGGGAGTCCCTCAGCCCGGCCTGTGCCCTCTCACAATCCGGGACCCCTTGCTCCTAACCGCCTGCCTGCTTGCTCCTTACCACTTGGCTTGCTGCTCCTTAGTGCTGCCAGGGAGGTGAGAGAGGCTTCCGCCACCACCACTGCGCTCACCAGCTGTGAGCCCGGCTTCTGGCTGAGCAGCGCTCCAGCTGTGGGAGTGCACTGACCACCAGGGGGCAGCTCTTGCGTTGAGCGTCTGCCCCCTGGTGGCCAGTGAACATCATAGTGACCAGTCATTCTGGTCGTTCCTTCATAAGGGTCACTGGGCTTTTATTATATAGACTAGGGGCCCAGTGCACAAATCTGTGCACCTTCAAAAGAACTGTAGGCTGCAAGGCTGTGGTGGGCACAGGGGCAGGTCTTGGCCTATCCCCTGTGCCCCCTCCAAGCCCCTCCCACTGTGGCCCCTGGTCCCCTGTCTGCCAACAGCCCTGCTCCCACTACCACCGCTCCCACACACTGATGGCGCTGGCCCTGCTGACACCCACTGATGGCGTGGAGCGATTGGGCCAGCACCACCAGCAGGTGCGAGCAGGGCCGATGCCATCAGTGGGTATGAGCAGTGGCTGCTGCCTTAATTGCCCCTCAGGAGAAGGGGGAGGAGGAGAAGAACTCAGGGGCAATCGAAATCGGTGCCAGGTGGCAGCAGCAGGTGTGAGCAGCGGCTTCAGCGCTGGCAACGGGTGCGAGCAGGGCCATCCCCGGCAGCAGGTGTGAGAGGCAGCTGCCAGCCCGATTGCCCCTCAGGAGCAGGGGGAGGTAGAGAAGCCCTGAGGGGCAATCAGGGCCAGCAGCCACCACTCACACCCACTGATGGTACTGAGCAATCAGGGCCGGCACTGGACGCTGGCAGCAGGTGCGAGTGGGACTGGCACCAGCAGCAGGTGCAAGTGCTGGGCGGGACCGCGGTGTGTGGGAGCAAAGAATTTTCAGTAACCACCAGAGGCTTGCCCTGATGACAGCGACTGGCACCCCGCCTTGGTCTGGCACCTCTGCTCATTTGTTCCACCAACCTGCCATGGCTGACGCCTGCCATATTCCGCATGCACCCCCTGGTGGTCATCGCACATCAAAGCAACCGGTTGTTAGATTGTTCGGTTGTTCCGTTGTTCAGTATATTTGCATATTAGGGTTTTATATATATAGATCGGGGTGACAATGATTAGAGGTTGGATTTTTTACTGTGAAGCAGGCCATACTGTTTAGATTTCCCATTTCTGTTCATCAAAGACATAAGAAACCATCCTTCAGTTTCTACTTAGGTTGAAATAACCAGTATTACCACAGAGAGTTGATTTACATAATTGCAGCTTAAATCCATGAAACATTGCATTTTATTTCATCTTTTCAGGCTTAATCAAGAATACATGTATGTTTTCAGGGTGGCTTTTTAGCATGTGGAAAATAATTCGCACATCTCTATCATTGCCTGAAAGGGATCCCAGGTTGGGAGTCATTTTTGCTGTAACTGGTCATTTATATGCTGGTGCCTGGGGAGCTTTGAGGGCAGGTCTTGCTGCAGTGAGAGGCCCCAGGTCCAGGCCAGGGCAAAGAAGCAGGCTGAGAAGGGCAATTGGGGTGGGGGGAGACGACGGGTAGGCAGTGGTGTCCTGCACATGTGTGGTTCTAATCCTGCTTCTGCCATGAGGAGCTACTCTGTGACCTCAGGCCAGTCACTCAGCATCTACGAGCTACTTTTTATTCTAATGAATAAGAATAGAGAGCTATAATGAAGGCAAGCTAATTTTTGTCTTAGATTGTGAGTTTGAAGACGGCATAATTTTATTGATCAGTGCCTACCCTAATGCCACATGCTTTTTGAGGATAATCATACAAATACTAGCTGCCACTTAGTAAGCATCTATTATGCACTAGGCATGGCACATGGTTGAACCCACATTTGCTCGTGCACTCCTCACAGCTTCCCTATGAAGATGTAATTCGTCCCATTCTATAAAGAGAAAACTGGGGCTCCGAAAGGTTGGAAAGCTTGCCCGATGCCCAGATAGGAATAGGCAGAGCCCAGAGATGCCCTCGGGTCCATCTGATTCTTGGGCTCTGGGTGTGGTAAATCTGGAGAAAAGGAAGTTCTTTGTAGTTCCAGGAACTTTCCAGGGGTTGGTGCATTTCATCACCCAGAAGGCATGAAAAGTATATTTAAAAGAATCAGAGATAATTTTTAGAGGCCTTTGGGTGAGATCTCACTGTGGATTCCTCTGCATGTTTTCAACTATTCTCCTCCCACTCTTCACCCAACCCTGCCTCTAGATTTGTGCACTTGCTGCCAACTTCCATGTGGAAGTAGGTGGAAGTGGTGGGAACCCATATATTTGCTTTTTGGAGAATAACAGCCTCCTAGTTTGGACTATAGTAGGGATACCCAGAGTCTCAAAATATAGCTCACGATGTCTGAAGCTGAAAAATATTTCTGAGATGTGTGCACTTGAATAGTCTACTGCACGATCCTCCTTGGAACCTGGATATTCCTGGCATTTCATCAATTACCATCTGTAGTCTTCTGAATTACTGGACAGATTGAAGGGTGATTAGCCAACTTCAGACTCACAGTTTACCTTCTCCAGGGTGTTTTAACCTCCTCACTGTTTATATTTGGAGGCTGGATAATTCTTTGGTGTGGGGTCTGTCCTGGGCCTTGCAAGATGTTTGGCAGCATCCCCGGGCTCTCCCCAATAGATGCTAATAGCCCCCCTCACTCAGTTGTGACCACTCAGATGTCTGCAGACATTGCTAATATCCTCTGGTGTGGGGGAATCACCCCATGTAGGAACCCCTGGTCTAATCTAACTCCTCATCCTCCTTAGCTACTTCCTTGCCCAGTTTTCCGTGTGTCCACCTTGAATATCTCCAGTGCTGGGGAACTCACTCCTTCTCATCTTTAGAGAACACTCATGTTCTAAAACTCTTCCTTACTTTGAACCTAAACATGTCTCTCTAGCTTCCCCCCAACGTGTGATCCTATTCTGCCCTGCCTGGTCCTTCTGATTCCCCCTCAAGTGTTTACAGACCATCATGCCACCCTAAATTTTCTCTATAATTCCTCAAATGCATTGATTGCTCCTTCCCTCCCCATGCTGACTGGTCTGAACATCCTCCACTGTATCTGTGTCCCCTTCAAAGTGGAGAAAGTGAGAGATGGGTGCTGAGTCTGACCACAAAGGAATCACTTCCTTGGATCACCCCCAGAGGGAGCTGAACTTCAGTCAAGGGATCTGGTGAGCAAGGGGCACTATTTTCTAGAACTTTCCACAGTTATATGCCTATGCCACTGTACCGGCAGCCACCTGCACCAGGTCAAACCTGCCTGGAAGGCTGGGAGGCTTCCGATGTTATCCCCACCCCTCAGGTAGCATCCAGGTGAGCACTGCAGCAGCAGGAGGGCCGGGGCAGGGCAGGTGATGGGGCTGCTGGGTTCTGGGCTTGAGCAACTCTGGTTCTTTCTTCTAAGGACCTGTGCACAGAGGCTGTCCTCCTTATCCTGCCTCTTTCCTGGAATATTTATAAGGACAAA